TTGGACAACTCCCACCATCTTTCTCCAATGGCTGTTCTGGCTGGGGCAGATGGGAGTTTATTATTATTATTATTTATTTATTTCATACAATTTACACACTGCTTGGTTGTATGAAAAACCTCAGAATGCTTGGGAGATGGAGTCCAGGAGCATCTGAAGGGCACCATGTTGGCTACCCCTACTCTACACTGCCCGATGCAGGTTCTCTGTCAGTCAGGGGACATTTTCAGCCCTACTTGGGAGGTGCCAGGGATTGATTCGTGGACTGTCTGCACGCAAAGCCACTGAGTGACAGTCCTTCCTCAAGGAACGCAACCAGCAGTGCTATTTTTTCTAGACAACAAGGTGCTGGAACTCACCACAAACACCTCCCTCATTCTCTTAGAACGGCAATGGTGCTCACCTGAGAGGTGCCAGAACTTAGTTCCAGTGAGTTGTGGCTGAAAAAAAGCCCTAGCAACCAGCGTTGTTTTATGCTTTCACTACTCTCTGTTTTTTATGCTTTTTTCAATGTTTTTATTGTATTGAGCTCTTTGTAAGCTGTACACTGCCCTGGATCTGATATGGTCAAGAAATAAATCACAGCTATCTTCCTTTTCCACTACAGCTACCAAAAACTTCTGAGTTTATTTTAGTAAGTATCAACAGGAACAGGAACCATTTCTGCCTTCTTCCTGATATATTTTTTTTAAATAATACACTGGGAAATCTATTTTCTCAGCCTTACAAAAAAGAGTGCAACCCCCTTTTCAATGTTCACAAATGTTCATTGAACAATGCAAAAAAATAGAATCCTTTTTGTTTCCAGTGACTACCCCCAGACTTCTGAATTAACTCAGAGCAGCTTTAACAAGAGGGAAGCCAAATTGTCTGTGGGGGAAGAATCACTTGGAACATTTCCTCAATTAAAAATACTCTGCTAAACTTTTCTTAGCTCCTACTGACTATGCCAGAATGATAGCTTCCCACAGAATTTTTACATTCAAAATAGAACTTCCAAGACTTACCCTGTTTGGCTGGAATAATTTTTGCAAGAAAAGTCATTATATCCTTAGCAACTTACAGACTTTATATGCAATGATAAATAGGTGGGGTTTTTTTTTTTTTTTTAATTAAGTTGTCCAGTGTGCTCAGAGACACTTTTATTTCCAGGTCTTAGCCCTGTCAGATTCTGTGAGCAAGGTCTGGCTATACTCAAGTCCTGGCAACTGAATTTTCTAAGGGACTGGAATTCACCTGCAAATAGACATTTAAGTGGCGATGGATGACAAGGCATGGGAGAACAGTGGTTGAGAGGGAGGAAAGCAAAGAGGTTTGTTGTACATAGTTACTGAGAGATAAGATGGAACAGGAGAAATCCTGACTCCTTCCAGAAAGCAAAGGAACAACTAATGTTTGAAATACTTTCTCTCTCCTGTGACCTTTTCCAGGCTGATGGAGATTATCACTCTGCTTACATTTCTAAAATTATTCCATTGTTAGCATTAAATCCCAGGCAGAAATATTTTAACTGTCAAACTCTGTGTGGGGGGCTCTTGCTCTCCAAGTACACAAGTGATTGCTTCTAGTAATACAATGGAACCTTGGTTGTCGAACGTAATCCGTTCCAGAAGACCGTTTGACTTCCAAAACGTTTGACAACCGAGGTGCAATTGCCGATCAGCAAATTCCTTTTAAAAAATGGAAAAACATGCCTCGGAAGTCATTCAACTTCCGAAGCGCATTCGAAAATGGAAGCATTCACTTCCGGGTTGTTGGCATTCGCATTCCGCATTGTTTGGATTCCGAAGCGTTCAACAATCGAGGTTCCACTGTACATGGAGCTGAAGTAAACCATTGATAATGGAGAACCCATCGTCTAGCTTTCAGGACTGGGGATAGTCTCCATGGCTTTTGAGATTTTTCTCTGTACCGTTCCCCTTGCATTTCTCTCTCTCATGCATATCTTGTTGCTTGAACTCCCCTACATTTGCTGCAGAGCTCCTTCCCTCCTCTCTCCACACCCTTTCAAGCTTCGGCGGTTCCCTGTTTCTTTTCATCATTAGCTGGGCTTCAGTTTGCTCTTCTCACTGGAGTCACAGCTGCTGTCTATTGTTACCTTCCCGCCAGGAGATTGTTTGCCTTGTCTGTGGCTTGAGCCTTTTAGGACCCTATATGCTTCAGCAAGCCTGTGCTCAGTGCCAGAGATCTTGGCACACGCTACGTCATGACAAATGCCCTGCAAAGTCTCTTTTTTTCTTCTTCCTTTTTTCAGGGTTGAGCTACATGTTATAGGAAACCCAAAATGGCTGCTCTGAGTCAAACTCCTCCTTCCTCTGCTCTAGTATGGGGTACTCCTGCATCCCAACATTAAACTGTTTTCCACTGTACCTGTTTCACATCATGGGCAGTGACTGGTAAGGAGACAAATGCATATACTTACACTGAATGTAAGTAAATTAACAGAGTGACCTTGTGAATTAACTGTACATACTCCTTTAACTGCAGCCTAGCTTCCCATGTTCTCCTGTCTGTCTCTCTTCTTCCCAGCAGAATGGGAAAAATCCTGCTGCAGACCTGTGTAAAGAGCCTTGCCAGGGAGTTGTATAAACCTGGTTGATAAACCTTTCCCATTAGCAATACCTGCACAGAGCCTGAACAGTTCAACAGACAACACAGTGACCTGGTTCATATGCCATAGTAAGGCAAAGTATGTGTTACTGGGACCGTGCAAACGTACTGGCTCACACACACTTTACACCTTCCTTTAGGACAGGATGACCGCTAAACCAAGGTTTGGCTTAGCATGTTTTCCAAATGTGGAATCCTGGTTAAAATCGCTTCTTCTTAACCATGGCTTATAACAATGAGATAAAACTTGGCTACAGGTCTTAGTTAAGGACAAGAAACCTTAACCACAATCCCAGGTTCAGATCTCAAGCTATGCCAAACCTTAGTTTAGCTGCTGTACTGCACTGAGCTAAAAAGCATCAAGGAACAGCAAAACAGATACAATCTCCTCCATGGGAGCCAGTTTGTTGACACTGATGCATGGTTTGGCTTCACATTACATGTGAACACAGCCGCTGACACCTTCGGGTCGCAGGTAAAGCTGCGCCATACAGAGAAAGAACTGGGAATGGGGTGGCCTGTCCTGCCGTCAGTCTCACATTCCTTCATTTACAGATCTTAAAAAGTAACAGCGAGTGTACTTAATCATAGGGAAAATGTCTTGGCAACATCAAACCTTAGCATGGGCTACTTGATTTAGGAGCTATGGGCAATTACGGAAGCAGAACTCTGAAGCCAACTTGCTGAAACTTCATGGGAATTCTTCCGTGTGATTCCATTCCCTGAAGCAGGAGGGGGCATCAGCTGTACAGCCTTCTTTCTAAACAGTAATGGATATAAAGCTACACCTCAGAATCAAATTAGCTTGTTCATTATTTAGCAATGGTTAAGAGAAGATTGGGAAGATACTGCTAATCTCTCCCCATCTCCCCACTCTGTTCTTGAAAGAAGGTTGAATCATCCTCAAACTAGGAAACAACTCAGGAATAATTGTTGCAACCTCCTCCCCGCACCCAAAAAAGAAACACAGCTGTTTCTTAAAACTGTCAAAGGCCTGTGTTTCCACAGAAAACAAATATATATATATATATATATCTATAAATTAAATAAGAAAGGAGATGAATCCATTTGTGCAAACAGAAATGTTCTGAACAGATATTTTTAAAACTCATAAAAATCAGCAGTCCGTTTCCCCTGAAAAACAACTGGTTAGCTGTCCTTTTATGGCAGTGCTTGCAATGAAGGAGCCGACCCTTCACAGCCAAATACGGATCATGGCTTAGCAAAATGAGGCACCCGCTCTTGCCTGGATCCGAGCCACCGATTCCCTGCTTCTTCACAACTTGCTCTTTTCTGCTAGGAAAGCAGTCTGCGTGTAATAAAAGCCAATCATTTCACACCGCCAGCCCCCTATGCCTTCGGTCAACAGTGCATCCCGGTGAAAGTACCGCCTGGTCCTAATTAAATAACCACACTTGCAAGGAGAATGATCACACACACACACACACACATACACACACACATGAAAGAAAGAAAGAAAAAATGGAGCAGTGTTTCAGCTTACATAGCACCCTGCTTGACAAGCAGCCCAAAGTAGCTGACAGTACGCAGAGCACCAAGCTGTGCGCGAGTAATTCTGATGCACTTGGAAAATAAATAAATAAAGCAGCGCCACAATCGCCCTGAAAGAAAAGCCAGGCGTCTCCCTCCTCCTGACAGGCAGCACATTCAAGAAGCCTGTGGTTGTGACCTACTGCCAATGGTATCTTCTGAAAGGTATTTCATAAGGAGGCATTTAGAAAGCGATTAGAAACACATATGGATAGCGGTGCTGCCAAAAAATACTAATTGGAGTGCAATTTCAAGAACCACACCCCATGCTAGATCAAAGTTTCTTTTTAACAGTCTGGGCCAGAGACCTGCACCTCTAGAAGGAAACCAGACAAGCTGCAGGAGGTTTTGGGGTATCATTCATGCAGAAGCAAGGGAGAGCTGGCAGGGGGAGGTGATGCTTAACCCCACTCCCTCCCACTCACTGATTTCCCCCTGCAATTGCCCTCAGCCATTATTTTTTTGTTTTGTCGGGTCGAGATGCCTAAAGTTTGTCTGCACAGAAAATGGCTTAGCAGAGTAGGGATTTGGAGAAGAGACTCAGCAGCGGTAGGAAGATTTAAGCATCCCCTCTCCTACCCTGCAATGCCGCCCGACAGGTCTTTAACCAGTTTAGCTGATCGATTTAGTTCCTGATCATGTAACACCAGCTCAGAAGCACCTTATTTGGACTCCACCCCAAAGTCTCAGGGTTGTTTCAAAAAGAAGAAGCTCAGAATTAATAAATATAGTGAGGAAAATGAACCATCTCAGAATCTCAATGTGCAAACATTATATTTGCACAGCTGTAAATTCATCGACAAATGCGGGGAATCTTGGTTATTATTTTTCCTTTCTGGAAGAGATGCTGCCAGGCTGAACTCAGTACATGTTGACCCCAAGGTGGCAGTTTAGGACAGCACATGGCAGAAGGCAGTAGATTTTCCTCCACCAGCATACAGGACAACTGTGCCTTCTGAGATGCTCCATTACTACATGTGCTCCTTCCACTGTTTGCTAGACCCAAAGGAATTACGAGGCAAAGGAAAGAGGTGAAAGTCAGGGCGAAGCAACGCCCCATTACCCCATCACAACCGACACAGCTGCCCAGGGATTTTTAGGACAATCTCATTGAGAAGTCCAGCAGTCTACCTTCTGCCAGGATAACACTGTTAAGGCAAGGCCTTTCCAAGTGACAGCAAAGTCACCTACCTAATCCTGAGTCTCTGTAGCTCTCCAAAGATGGGCCTCAATTCACTCCATCTTACACACAGTATATTTAGGCAATAATGGAAACCTACATGCCATGGAGATGTGTAGGCATGGATGGAATAGGACTATAGACATCAGGGATGCCCAAACTGGAGACTATGGTGAAAGTACAGGTACAGCAGTTCTGGAATCCGAGGGTGGTGATTGGGGTCTAAAATATAGAAGAGTAGCTTTGTAAAATATGCAAGCTGCTCCCTGCTCAGTGTTGATTTTTCTGCCTTTGGAACACCTTTGTTCTAAACCTAGTATCACTGTGAGACAATGGGCTAAACAAAGTATGAAATAGTTTTCTCCCATCCACCTGGCCCCAGAGCAGTGAGTGAATCTGGGCATGGATTTTTAATCAGGTGGTAAGCAAACCAGAGGGGATTCCAGCTCTTGTTAGTAGGCTATTTGTCCAGATCTCCCAAAGGAGCTTCACTAAACATATTTCTTTGCCTGCAGGTACCTCTAATAGGTTGCAAACTCTTGGCCAAATAACCCTTCATAGGTGGAAGTATTTGTTGACTCATGATGCAGCTGAGCTCAGAGGACCTTTTATTTCACATCACCCTCCATGATCAAATGTGAAGTAGCACACCACTGTGTTGGCAAGTCTAGTGGTTATAATAACATGAGATATTCTATATCCCCCACTGTTTCCTTATTCAACAAAGTTCTGTACTACATAATAACAGGAAGTGTGAAATAGACAGTGCCTCTACAACCTAAGTGTATGCGTATTTACAGTGCCCAGTCATTGAACTCCAATGGGTATTTATTTATTTCCTGGTATGCCTTACTCTCACACCAAGGCACTTTCCTACACACTTTGTAATGGCAGATGTGGGTGGCTTTCTGTCTGGCTAGAAGATACACAAGGGAACAATTCTGCTCTGGCTGAAACAGATGTAAACACCCATCAACTACAGCCCACGGCATCAGCCTGATCCGCATCATAGGAAATGAGAGCAAACCCTCTTCTGCCTGCCCCAACTCCCAATGTTCCTAAGGAAAACAAAATTACAACAAAGCGCTGCTTGCTAACTGCAGACAGCTGATATGGTCAAAGACACAAAATCACAGGGGACAGGGGAATAATTAAGATAACTGACCTAAAAGAGACTTAAAAGGAGGAAGCACTTCTAAGAAAGTGATTCTGGAGATTCATTATGGCTATAGGGACAATAGATGTTTGCTTTTACAATCCAGGTACAGGAGTGGCCAAGAAGAGATTAAAAGGTGAGATAGTAGTCAAAAGAAAAGCAGAACAAACATCCTGGGAAAGCTTTTAATGAGAGCCATTTCAAATCAGTTTCTATAGTTCTTTTCAGGTTGGTTAGAGGAGGAAGTGTCGGAAGGCGTGGATGTTATTCCACATTCAGTGCTTCATTCATACAAAATAAGGTAATTAGAAGGGAAGCCTGAGAGATAAGATCAGTGAGGAAAAAGTGCTGATTGGGCCCACAAAAAATGCACACACCCGAAGAAAAACATGCTGGCTTAGTGCTTATTAAGGATATTTTTATCCAGCCAGACCTCCATCACAATAGTGCCCAGGCGGGGTTCAATGCACATCAGAGGACACAAGTGGCATAAAACCAGCTGAAAAACAATCCAAAGTATAAATCAACATAAACAATTAGAGCAGTTTAACATACAACATTAGAACTATAAAGGTTATTGAAAAACCACAAGGCTAGCTACTCTTGCTCAATAAATAAAGACTCTAATATCCTACATGTGGTTGGGTAAACAGATATGTCTTTATTTGGCACCAAAATGATACAAGTTGCAATCTACTAATCTTAAGAACGTAAGCCCACAACCAGGACCTGAGTGCAAGAGAACTCTCTGCACTTATATCTCCAGGCAACTCGTACTCAAAGGCATATGGCCTCAGATAGTAGAGGCAGAACATAGTCACCATGACTAGTAGCCTTATCCTCCATGAATTTGTTGAATCCCCCTTTAAGTCACCCAAGGTCACACCCACACCATGGCTTCCCCCCAAAGAATCCTGGGAACTGCAATTTGGTAAGGGTAGTGGGAATTGTGAGGTGTGAACTATAATCCCCATGATTCTTTGGAGGAGCCCATGTACTTTAGATAAATGGTATTGGACGTGAGCTAAGCGGATGGACATTGCTGCATCTAGTGGGAGCAAATCCCATAGTTCAACAATGTGCTGTGTGAATAAGTACTTTCTTTTGTCTGTCCTAAATCTTCCAACATCCAGATTCAGTGGATGGCTAGACATGAGAGTGGCCTATGTATCCACTTTCTCTATAAATTAAAAGTGCTTGCACTGTACGTAGATTAGAATTCGGCAAGCTGCTACTCAGTCAAAGGCATGTGTTGGGGTGCAATAGGACAACCAACTCACAAGAGGAGCAGCCACAAAATAAGTGAAAGGGCAGCAAAACACACACACACACACACACACACACCTGAAAAGGCCCACACACAGAGTTAAAAGAATTTTATGACAGAGATGGAGGGGACAAGAGAATGAAGGCGACTGCCCAACTCACTTGTGGGAAGTGCTTTTAATAACTGCCTGCACATATTACCAGTTCAGCATCTATCCACTTACTGCAGCGTATGCAAGTTGGACAAGTTAGTGGTCTCTCTTGATTAGATGAACAATCCTGCAGGGCTGTTAAAAGCATATGAACTTCAAAGAAGCCTCAGATCCAAGGCTCCTGAGTCAGAGTGCCTGGCATTAGAGGAGAACACAGATATCGAGTAGCAATACTAGAAACCTGATGGTGCAGTGATCATCGACAAGATGTACAGTTATCTCTTGCTATTGAATCTAGGGGAAGGGCAGAGCAGGTAGCACGGTATCCCAAGGAGAAAATGTTGAGTTAATGGGTGATTTAATTATCCTCCCATTGGCTCGAATGCCTTGTTGTTTATATCATAAAAGAGTAACCAGATACAGAAGAGGACAGCATTAGCGGGTGGTGGGGTGAGGCTGCCCCACTCATCTGAGCTCCAATCAGTTGTGCCACTGCTGTTTTCCAGGAGAGAAGGGGGAATGATGAGGCAGCAACAAGGTCAGCATGGTGCAAATGCACCAGCAAAGTAAATCTGGCATTCCTACTGGTGCATTTGTTCTGCACCAACATCCTTACCATCTCGCCCTCTTGGCCTCCTGGTAAGCAGCAGCAAAGGTCAGGTGAGCTGTGGCACCCTAACACGATGTGTGTTACTAAGGTCAGAGCTCTTGCAAAGTCAACAGCGCATAGCAGAGGGAATTGCAGAAGGTGCAGCTTGTCATTCAAGCTACATCTCTCTTCCACATTCAGCTATTAACATCACAGAAGCCTTAGCATTTATTTGCCCCAAGCCACCCTATTACAAAGAGTAAAAAATTACAGGTACAAAAAAAAAAGTCTTAGAATGCATACAATGCAAGACTATATGCGTATGTCTACTCAGAAGTAAGACCCAGTGAATTTAGTGAGGCTTAGTCCTGGGTAAGGCTGAAATCCTTACTCTATGTTTCTAGGAATAACTCCCGTTGATGTCAAAGGAATTTATTGTTGAGTAAACATGGTTTCAAAGACGGGTGGCACTGTGGGTTAAACCACAGAGCCTAGAACTTGCCAATCAGAAGGTCGGCGGTTCGAATCCCCGCGATGGGGTGAGCTCCCATTGCTCGGTCCCTGCTCCTGCCAACCTAGCAGTTCAAAAGCACGTCAAAAGTGCAAGGAGATAAATAGATACTGCTCCAGCGGGAAGGTAAACGACGTTTCCGTGCGCTGCTCTGGTTCGCCAGAAGCAGCTTAGTCATGCTGGCCACATGACCCAGAAGCTGTACGTCGGCTCCCTCGGCCAATAAAGCAAGATGAGCGCTGCAATCCCAGAGTCGGCCACGACTGGACCTAATGGTCAGGGGTCCCTTTACCTTTAAACATGGTTAGGACTGTGCTGTAACTGAATTGGGACTCACTTCTGAGTAAACATCCAAAGATTGTGTTGTCAGGTAGAAATCCTTAATGCAATTATTAGGCAGATTTATTTATGAAACAACATATTAAGGATTGTATTGTATCAAGAAGCCCTCAATTTCATTTTGAAAGGATGTAGCTAGGGATACAAGGGTTGCCAAGCCACTTGGGAAGAATGACCCCCAAACACAGTCAAGATTCAGCATGTATATGAATAGGAAACTCCCTAGGAAGTCTAAGGCAGTCACATTTAATTTCAGAAGAGGAAATTTCTCCAAAGATGGGGATTACTTAAAAGGAAGTTGAAGAGTGCAAGTCATTATGTTATTATTGATTGGTTGTGTCGTCCCCCCCCCCCCCCGCCAATCTCACAGCTCAAGGCAATGTGCAAAAGCATCGCACAATATATTTGGACTGTATAGGTCTATGGCTTGTGTTATCATGCCATCTGAGTACCATAGCACAAGGAGGACACCACCTCTCCTTCAGCAAAGGCTGTATTTTTAGATCTCTTCCCATGGGTTTCTACTTTTAATTGAAGTCTGCAGGAGTGGAAAGTGAACTCATTGTCTGTCTAGATGTGAAAAATCAAAAGCAACTTCATTTCATCAGTCTATATGATATTATGCATGCAGCATGAATAGAAGAGTAGAACCCCAGATTCCTCAGAGACATCTTGTGTCATTTTCAAGATGACAACATTGATTCTGTACTCACCTGACAATCTGTTTTTCATTATATGAACTCAAGCCCACACAAAAAGTGGGGAGAATGTATTGCTGGCATTCCCATTATTAAGTGTGTAACATTAAAGGCCCTTATTCCACTAGCGATTTTATCCTCAGCCCTAAACCACATTCACGTTAGAAGTTCAACAGCAGCTGATGTTATTGCAGTTTTTATTTGGGTTTTAATTACCAATCTATATGTATACAAACTGTAAACTACAAACAGTTTCCTTTCTTTCCTTTCCAAACCCCAAACACCAGACCCCACAGTAAAAAAAAGAAAGAAGCAAAGAGATATTGCCAGACCAACAGCAACTGGTATTTATTAAACAGAACTCCTACATAAAACAGAAAGGAGTGTGTCAGATTATTGGCTTCACGCTGAGACAGCTTCACACAAGGTTGCCAGATCAAAAATATAAAATTAAGAGACACTGCAGAGTGGATATGTTTTGCTTTGATTGCATATTGAAATCCAAAAGACATTTCTCCCAAGGCGAAAATGCTTAGCCACCTGGAAAAAAATGTCTTACGGATGAACCACATGACAAAGCACGCTTGTTCGAAACAGACCAAAGTCATTCTACTAGTCCACATGAGATACCTTGATAATGATATGTCCCCTGAGATCCCATGGTAAAGATATCTAAATAAATAAATAAAGTCACATTACCATTACCAATCCCTGACATTAGTTTTAAAAAATACAGTTTGGGAGACCACAAGAGTCCTAGATCTGCTGTCCATCCATGAACACATAAAGAAACAAATACTCAGTCTGAGTAAATGTATTACACTATGCAAACACGGCAATATTTATCTCTGCACATATTATTGTAAAAAATTCCTGCTAATTTGATAAAAGATACATGTCTTCCTCCATCGCAAAACAACAGGTTTGTACAGTATTTTTCTTCGTGCATCATTTTGGCATCCAACCCATTCATAATTGTTTACAAAAATATGAAATGTGTGATATGTTGCATTGAAATAAGCAACGGCAACAAATTCAGAAGTGCATTATGACTGCTTTCTGAAAAGTCAGTTCAATTAATAGAATGCACTTGTCTGGAATGAATATGTATGTGTTTGCATGCATATATACACACATATATATGCGCACATACACCTGTGCCTTACAGAAAAAGGCAGAAGATACCGTGTTTTACACATCATATATCCTGCACTACCTGCTACTAGGGCTTGTGCCTTATTTAAGCAATGAAATCCAGTTCAGGTTTTCCAGATGACCACAATACTGTAAAGTTCAGAGGAGCTGTAGCCAATGCTGGCATTCAGTTTGTTCTGTAACAACTCCAGAGATGGCTGTAGCACAGTCTCAACTCATTTCTATCTCATATTATCTGGACAATCATCTCATAGGCACATCAGAAAAACACAAGCCAGCATTAGAGATCTGCAATGAATAATACTCCAATAATTTTCAGAAGCAAATGTACAAAGGACCAGTTACAGCACATCTACTTACAGATGCCATTGTTGCATCTCAGATACACTTTAAAAATAAAAATAAAACTGTAGTTCTGCCATCAGTGGAACAAGATTAATGCACAGAATTGCTGTTGGGAATGTATATGTTGCAATTAATAAGAGCTGCATGAAGAAAAGTACATAACCCCAGGCAACTGTGCGCATTCAAATCAAGGCAAGGAAACGTACGGAAGCTGACAGCACAGCATCTTTCATATATTGTCTGGTAGATACATGCATCGCCTCCAAGAGATATTGGGAATATATGAACAACTTGACAATGGAAAGGCCATTGAGCAGTGGGTGCCTAATCAATATGAATGGTTTCCACTTGAGGTCTAGGTATATTGATTGGGCAGTGTGTGAAATCCCTTGTTTGAATTCATTTTCTTTAACAACAGTTGGGGAATATGCAGATTGATCAACCATCTGGGTAAAAATCTTTGCTGATACTGCCAATCTGTCCATATTTTCTATGCCTTCACATGAATATGCACATTCTCTAGCCAAGTCCAACCAACCCCTCTCTATATATACAATCTAGGGATGTTTTGACTATCAGCAGTAGTTTTAAGTGCAATGGTGCATGGGAGAATCACACTGCCAGTAGTAAAAGAGATCCAGTCATGTCCACACTCTGAAACTGAGGTCCCCTCAGAGAAAGAGCAGGGGACACACAAATGCACAGCAAACTCTATTTCCAGCAGTGACCCAAGAAAACCTAACCTATCTGCATTAACTTCAGACCCTGACATTCCATCTGCAGGATCAGACATCTCCGCCACTGTTGCCTAGGCTCCTGGGTAGATCTTGGATACAACCCACCAGTTGTCAACCCGCAGGTCCACAGGAGACAGTGAACTAGGCAGATGCAACAGGGCTGTTGGGCAAAGTGCCAAGCTAGCTACGTAAGGCTAACTTTCTTATGATACTACTTAGAATGAGGGTGAAGCCTATATAGGCATCTGTCTGGACCAGAGCCAGTCTGAAAGCCAAGAAAGAGCGGAGTCTCCAGTTTCAACACAAGTAGAGATCTGGTTTGTAGCCAGCCCACTGCCAGGTTCATATTCTTGAGCCGCTCAGAATTGGGAAATGGACAATACAATAATTTGTATTAGACAGTGACCCCAAAAGTGTGCCCAGTTATCAGTTGCAGGCCACCAGATACAGCTCACTGTGTAATTCTACCTATTTATAGTATATAGTGAAGAAGAAAAATGCAACTGATATACCTAGGCACATTGTACTTGATCTTTACACAGTCCATAGTGATAGAATTCTCGTCCACAAGAGGCAGGAATGGTCACCAACTTGGACGGCTCTTAAAAGAGGAATAGACAAATTTGTGGAGAAGAAGGCTATTAATGGCTTCTGATGACTATGTTCTACCTTCCACTTTTGGAGTGCCAATCTGGGTCTGGGTGCCAATCAGAGGTGTAAGGTGGGGGGCGGGCGGCTTTGGGGCCATGGCCCCGGGTGCAAATTTGTGAGGGGGCGCAAACAAGCATACCTCAGACCCAGCCACAGCAGCTCTGCCACCACCTCAGGCCTGACTTGGCAGCAGAGAGCTGAAGGAGAGTGAGCAGCAGCTTTCCTGGACTGTGGTGCACGGGAGGGCGCAGACCCATGGGGGCACAGACTGTGAGCCCACCCCAGGCAGCACGGGCTCTGCCACTGATGCCAGTTGCTGCGAAGCACCAGAAGGCAATGTGCTGTTGTGTTCAGGTCCCATAGGCATTTGGTTGGCCATTGTGAGAACAGGTGCCGGACTAAATGGGCCACTGGCTCTTCTGAAGCTCTTACGTAAGCTCCCAGGGACAGGACTCTTCTCTTCTTTTCATCTATGCTGCAGAGAGGCTCTGTGTATGACAACAAACTACAGTGTCCCAGATTTATTTTTTAAAACTCCCTACTGATAAATTCCCTGCAGAAAACCAGAAGCTGGATGAAGAACACAATCTATTTTAGCAGCAATTTTTCGTTTTACGTATGCATGTGTTCTTTCCCCCACCCCAATGGGAGGTTATGAAAGTCTCCTGGGTAAAATGACCCCCTTTTCTGATTGTGAATTCTGTTTACAACAGGGTGCCCTCTACAAGAATGATCGTTAATGATGTACTTTCGAGCTCTTTTCTGCAGGGTTTATACCCAATATACAAACCCTCCTGAAGAAGACTCCGTAGCACGGCTGAACAATAGATAATCAAACACAAACATGCAATCAGATCTTGTAGCGGCACTACATTACACCTGGGCATGTATAGCGGAGCTGATTCTTTAATTTAATTCACCAAGCATTTAACACTGAACAAAATCCACATTCTGAAAGCAGAATTTTCATCAGCATGAACTGTATTTACTATTCATTCTACCCACTGGCAGAAATCCAGGGACAGAATAGCACTCATCAGGTGTTTGTGGCAAATGAATGAAGGTTTAAAGAGGGCATTTGCAAGTCCAGCCCCCCAGATCCCCAAAGGCTCTTCCTGTTTTGAGAGAGAGGGTACTAAGCATGTGTGGATTTAAAATCCATCTTATGGTTGGAAATCTAGCTAATACATGTTCTTGATCATATGGAGAATTCTACTTGCCTGAATATGGCTTACATCTAACTGAAATGTTCACAGCCCACATTCATTTATTTGGGCCGAATATCACCATATACACACTTTCATGTGATCATCCACATGGAAAGAGGCAGGGGGTAGTTGACAACTTTGGGGGCAGGGAAATTCATTGAGTTTCAGCAGGGGGACTTATCTAAATGAATTAGCCACCTTTGTTTTTCTTCTTTTCAATCAATCAGCATCATCAATACTTTTAGCGGTCTAGCCACTTTCAATGGCATCATTCAGGGGAGGGGATACAGCTGCCCTCAATTTGCTATTAGTTTAAACAAAGCAAAACAAATATTTAGCCACATAATAAAGATATGACACATACATCCCTCAAATTTGTAAAATTCATTCACTGTTGGAGATATAATCCAATATTTGCAGGAGTAGGAGTGGGTGCTTTTGCCAGAACTTCCGAAATTCACAGTACTTGGAGACAGCTTCAGACCCTTTCTTTGTTTTGGGTGGTGGCTCTTGGAGATGTTCATGCGCATGGACCACTACACACCACACATCAACTGCAGCGTGACTTTATAAAGATGTGGGAAACCCATTTATCCAACAGTCTTTAGGACAAAAGCGTGAACTATCCCACTGGGAACTTATCCACAGCAGGTTCTGTACTGGAACTAATGAGAACCACATAGTGTCTTGGGCCCAATGTGTTCTTTTCAGGAGAATTAACTGGGGGGAAAAGTCCATTGTACATAGCTAAACATTAAGTGTTCCATGTTGACCAGAGCTAGATGTTTAAGAGGAAGTGTTAATAAATGGCAATGAACAGTACCCTCTGTTGTTCTGTGCTAGTTTCTCATACAGTTACGAAGGTGGGGAAAAAATAAATGCCCTCTCCTCTCCCGGCCACACCCTTTCTCACTTCTGGATCCTGGAGCTTTGTGGGGACCAGCCAGACCTCTTAATTCATCCCTACTCAGCATCCACAATCCAATTCTCACCTGCTGGAGACCCTGGTAGGGAAGGACGCCACTACCAATTTCCTCATTTTTCTACTCGTAAATTCAGTTTTCCATATTTCCACATCCGTTTATGATGGTTTTTTAACTTCTCATGAAAATTCACTAGCATTTTAGTTGAATTTCTCACAGTGTACCTGTTTGTGTGTGTGCAACTTCACCTAATATACTCATATTTGTGAAGCAATTTTCAGTAACGTACGGGCTATTTGTATGTTACATTCACTGCATATGCTTTTCTAGTCACACTTTACCTCATCATATGCATTTTTTGGTACATGTGAGCAATGAATTGCAAAATTCAGATTGGTGCCGTGCTTTAGTGTATTGTTTTGGAAAGTGAGGATTTGGTAGGTTCACCTTTAAATATGAACTAGATCAAATCCCCACCCTAGCTCCAATCCCTAGACTCCTGCTAATGCTTGTCCCTCCTCCTCCCCTAAATGTAAGGGGGGGGGGAATGTAAGAAAAATGAAAAATGAAGATTTGTTTATGTGCATTCACAGCCCACCCTTCAGGTCTACATGGGAGGATCCTTCAGATATTTGGTGCCCAAGTGGTTTAGGAGTTCCTATTGTTGATTTAAGCACCTTGACTTGATCCCAAGCACACAGAACATTCCTAGTAGATGAGAGAGTGCTGTCATATTGTTGTTAGCACTAACATATATCTGGAAGCCACAGTCTTACTCCGTGTCTTACTCTGAGCAAAGAGGTTAAATAACATGATGTGGTAAATTTAAGGTCACCCACAATTTCCTCAGGAGATTGCTACTTGTGGTAAATATTAAGCCTTTTGCTGCTGTCAGCTATCTAAGCTAATGGAGCCTAAGGAAAGGAAGTCAGCCTTTCTCTCTCTCTCACTCTCTCTGCAGCTTAAAGCAAAGCACTGAAAATTGTGCTTGCATTAATTCCTGTTTCATGGTCTCAGGAAGATAAAAGGCTGCAGAAGAATGCAAGAGGGGGAAAGAATCTTTTCCACATGCAGACATAGATGTTCCCTGCTTGCTTCCCTCCCTCAGCACCTTAAAATGAAAACCACTTGGCTTTGATTTTCACCAGTAATCAAATGAGTCACATTTAGCCATAAATTAACATGATTAATACTGAAAAGCAAGCAGCTATTTTAAATTTGCCCACTGGCAGTCACACACATTGGCATGCGCCTGCGCACAAGCACACACACAGTTATTCCAGGGCCTTTTATATAGTTTTGCACACACAGAGACACAAATTCCCAAAACAACCTTCCCCCCGCTTGACATCAAAGATTCTAACAAGAGGCAGCTTGAGCCAAAAGTGTGAGTTATTCCCTATTGTAATTCCCTCATTCGTTTTGTGAGCTGGGGTGAAATACTAAGGAACAGAATTTATGGCAAACTTGGACAAATTTTATTACTCTCAGTTGCTGCATGGCTCACAAAAGAGACACACCTGCTTTTCTCTGTGTTGGTGCCCTTCTCTGGCTGGTGCCCTTTTCGTATGGAGGGGCAGAGGGCAAAGTGGGGGGGAAATGGGCAAGGCCCGATATGCATATTTTCATACACCCTCAACTCACACACAAACACCTAAAAACAAATACAATAATACCTCAGGTTACAGACGCTTCAAGTTGTGTGTTTTTGGGTTGCACACTGTGCTGAACCTGGAAGTACCAGAATGGGTTACTTCCAGGTTTTGGTGCTCGCACATGCACAGAATCGCAACCCGCATGTGCGCAGATGCGGTGCTGTGGGTTGCAAACACTGCAGGTTGCAAATGTGCCTCCTGCACAGATCACGTTCACAATCCGAGCATCCACTGTACCTAGACACAGAATGACACTAACAAACACTCACAGAAGTTGAAGGTGGTGGGAAAGGAGAAGGGCTAGGGACTGAGAGGTGGGGCAGGGGACCTTACTCTCCTCTCCCAACAGCCACTGGCCTTGCTCTATTGGATAGAAAGAGTATTTATGTGCTGTGAGAAAGGAATACATCTTTCCATAGCGCAGCACAAGAGCCAAAGGATCTGCTCAAACCCTTTAGGAAGCTCCTGGTTCAGGTGTTTATTCCTCCTGAGAGGTGGTGGTGGGGAGCTTTGGAAAGGGTGTGTAGAAGCCCAAGGCTCACTCAGGATCTATCCTTGGAAATAATTATGATGAAGAAAGGAAGTTCCACGGAGCCCACCAGATCTCTATGGTTTAAACAAACTCGGTGGGGCCATTTCTCCCATAAGAGCATTTCTGCAGCAAAAGCAACTCTGCTCACCCTTCTGACTTTTTTGTTATGGTTTACAGGACTCCATCTTTGCCATAAATACTGGAGGGAGAGTGGAATCCAAATCGGAAGATCCCTCTCCAAGGACTAGTCCTTGCTGCATAAAGTTAAAAGAAGACCTGCAGGCTGCAATGGGTGGAGTCAACCTTAGGAAGTTCATAGAAGGGAAATCTCCCATTCCCTACTCTGATGGTGCTCCATTTCACATTATTCAGAAGGGATTCCAACCACCCAGAGAGGCTTTTTGAGTGAGGGGGGAAAGAAGGATGGGGAAGCTTTTCTTCTGTGAACTTCCTTGAGTTAACTGACATTAGGATGCAAGCCAGAATGATCAGAGGCAAATGCGTCCCGCAGTCAAAAACTTCATTATTATTTTTTTGTGGTAAAATTTCCTGTGGCATAAAATGGCTGAAGAATATAAAATCCCAGGATCAATAAAGTATCTGTCACTGGCTGGTAGGTCCAGGCAAACCGATGCCCTAGAAAGTCTCAAACACCAGACTTCTTCCTAGCAACGTTAAGGACTGCAAAACATCTGTAACAACCTGACATCAGCTTCCTGATGCTTAAAAAAACCTCTGAGGTTATGAAGGCAATTAAAGAACACACAGATTTCGGCTGCAATCCTAGTACACCCACTTATCTAGGAGTAAATCCAATTGAGCCGAATGGGGCTTACTTCTGAGTAGACATGTACAGGCTTGCACTGTTAACTGCTTGCTCTGACCATAAAACAGTTCCATCAGCTTTCACAAGGACAAGCCCAGGCAAATACTGTCCACAAACACAGATCTTTCCTAATTCTTAGCCTGCTCTATTGTCTTTCACCCCACCCTGATATCTTCTTAGTTTGCCAGAGACATTCTGCCCTGCATGCTGACCAAGGTACACTTTCAACCTGAACTACTATAACTAGGAATTTTGGTCACTGATCTTTTGCCTTTTGATATAGGATATTGGCTTTAAGAAGCCCAGTGCAAGAAGTAGAGTTGGCAAATATTTTATATTTGGTGTGGCAGAGTCCTGATCTTTCAAGCCAGAGCGTGGGATTCTGAGCACTTGTTGTGTTCTCTGAAGCTACTGTTGCATACATACACACATAGCCAGAGAAGAAATAAAGAAATGAGGTATGGAGAGCCCACTAAAGAGAATCAGTTCATTAAACAATAAATGCAAAGAGGTAGAGCAAAAAAATGCAATTAATATATTGTTTAAACGAGGAAATGCAGAAATGCAGAGATTTCAAGCACACTCAACAAAATGGAGAACAGCAACAAAAGGTTAAGAAACATCAAAAGGATGTTACAGAAGACAGCAGAGTAACAAAATAAAGGTTCTCTTTGAAATTTACAGTTACATCAATGGAAGACATTGTAAACATCCACAAGTCTGAAAGTTTGTACCAATACAATTTTTGAGATACCATGCTGGTTCTAAAATGACCTTGGCTTATAATTTGTAGTTTAGACACTCAGGCTCTGTGTAATGTTTGGTTTGTAAAAAGATACACAAGACCATTCCTATTTATTGCCAGCTCAAACTCTCTAAATATTGTTGTAGACCATGGAACGCTAGGAAAAATGCCCCTTCCCCAGGGGAACACTCAATAGTAGCTTTCATTTTCCCTGCAGTGGCTGTTGCAGCCTGGCTAGGAAGGAATACAGAACTGAAAGCCCCACCCACAGCGCCTTCCCAACAGGGACCTGTCAGAAAAGCAACAACCCAATCGGCCTCTTGCTCATAACCTTATCCATCACTAGCATCCGTGACAAATGTCAACCACATGCCAGATGGCAGTGGTTGCTGGGCCTTCTGTGTTGAACCAACACAATGGCTTGGGGTGAAAATAAGGAGAGAGTGAGCGAGCACCGAATTCAAGTTAAAAGGTTATGCTAAAAGCAAGCAAGCTCTGGTCTGTCAGTTCTAGTTAGCGAAAACAGGACTTAAGATAAGAATGCATGGCCAAAGGACCATCCTAAAAATAAAAACTTGTGCTGTAGGACCTATAAACGAAAACTCCCGAGGTCACTGGCAGGCTACATCAGCAAAACAAGAGCTGGCATTCTGCAGATTTAAAAAATATATATACCCCACAATTCTTCATATTCACTGTCAAATACTTATGTAGTCTTCTCACAGACATGAAGAAGACATTATATCCAGTTCTGGGACTGTCACTGACATCACCTTCTCAGCCGACCCAATGAACATGCTGCTTTGCTACCTTTTCTACAGAGAAAAGCAAGAGAGTGAGCAAGCTGCCATTGTGCATTCGCACACACTCACTACAGACTTGTCCGCACAATCCTGAAAAGCGCACCACATTCTCCTCTCCCCCACTGCCCCACCTTGATACCACACACACAAACACAAATCCCTCACACTAGTACGATATCCAGTCCCCACAGGGTATGATATATGGAATGTCTTGCTGAGAACCGAGTGTCAATTCACTTCCTCAACCTCGGGAAGTGGGAATATGAATCTGACAAGGCTTCACTTTTTTTGTTTTTAACATTCAGGCAGGGCAGGCACAGCAAGGAGGGAACACATAACCTTAAAAAAAATGTCAGCATACAAGAAGGGAAGGAAGATTCATGAAATGGCAGCCGCTGGGTTGCTGAAAGGGTAGGGAGGGGCAGAAGCCATGTTTGTGGCATTTTTAAAAGCAAAGGTGGTGAGGAGAGGAATGTAAAGGTCTCTTCCATTCCGCTGCTTTCTGGGATGTCCATCTCTTCCTGGATGTTGCTCCTAAAAAGCTTTAATCCACCACCACTGAAAAACAGCAGAAGCCTATTGTTGATGACAGAAGGGGTGTGGGAACAAATGCAGTCCTCAAGGCCTCATTGCCCAACCCTCAGGACTCTCTCCCATCCATGTTCCTCACCAACCCTGCTCTATGCCTCCTTAAATGTCATTGGCTGGCAGGAATGTCTTATTTTACTGTCAAAGTGCCTTTCACTTGCCTGGATGGAGAGATGTGTGCTTATAACCCTCTGCTTTTCCTGGCTGCAATGAGGTCTCCTGTATAAAGAGCCACCTCCATTGCATTATCCATTTTTGCCTCTGTCCCCACCCACCACTAGTATGTTCACTCATGAGGGAATGTGGCCCATGGGCTGAAACAGATTCCCCAACCCTGCTGCAAGTTGTTCACCTGTTTCTCTGATCTTGGGGCACACAATGGAAGGATGCAGGTTGGGTTAGATGACATGTAGACAGTACTGAGCTAGATTTAATAGTCGGCTAAGTATAAAAGATTTAGTAGTTGGCTAAGTATAAAAGGAATAGGTTCTTAGGACCACTTTCCTGTTTTTCAAACATGCTTCTCTGCCTGTCTCACATGAAGGAATATTTTGTGTGCACTCTCTGTTTGTCAGGGCTTCAACCATTTTATAACAGAGATTTGAAGGAAAATGCAAAGAGGATTAAGAGTAAAGGCAATCTCTAGGATGGGTTTGCACATGAAAAGCAAAGAAAATGTGTTTTTTTATTTAAAAAAGGAAAAATAAAAGCTATATGGAAATAGTTTTGACTAAGCTGGAATGCAAGATGTAAGTTATTGCAGAGTGAGGTTGTTGAGTAGGCAGAATACAGGTGAGGAGGTCAAAATTGTGCAGCAAAGGCAATTTATTTCACTCTTTGCAGAAAAGAGAGGAATTTATTCTATGTTAACAATAACCACATGCAGCATAGATATCACACACACACTGTTTTTGAACACAGTTATAAAGTGATAACACGTGGAACAAAAAATAGAAAAGGGGGAACACATGAAGAAAATAGGCAACAAAAAACATTACCCAAGAATTCAGAGAAATATGGACTCATATTCCTCCTTTCTTTAAAGTGAAGATTTAATTGACCAAAAGAAGTCACAGGCATTAAAAGAATGAGTCTCAGCTTGCCAGAAACAAAGAGTTCAGAGATGGCCATTCCCATTTAACAGAGACACATCAATATTCAGAGGGGTAGTTCTGTTTCTCTTTCAAATACTTCCTGATTTTTTAGGCATACAGTCATACCTCATGTTATGGCCGCTTCAGGTTACGTATTTTCGGGTTGCAGACTGCGGGAAACCCGGAAGTACTGGAATGGGTTACTTATGCGTTTCGCCACTTGCACATGCGCAGAAGCACTGAATTGCGCTTTGCGCATGCACAAAAGCATCAAATCGCACCTGCGCCTGTGCAGACGCGGCGCTTCAGGATGCAAATGCTGTGGGTTGTGGACGTGCCTCCATCACGGATTACATCCACAACTGAAGTTCCACTGTAATTAGAAGAAGTTCCATTCTAGCTCTTTTCATTTCAAATATAAAATACCGTGGAGCCAACTTGGATTTAACACCATCTGGCACCCCAGATGACAATCAAACTGTCACCCCACATCTGCATCTTTAAGGTCTGAGAAGGATAACTTTCTGCTTTTGTTGCCAAAACCTATACACACACACGGCTTCTCAGTGTTTTTTTTTTGTGTGTGTGTTTTTTGAGGCTGTACATAGCACTGATTTGCTGACAAACCTATGTTGTCACCAAGAAATCTCCTCCCAATCTTTAGAGCACTTTTAAAAGCTTCCTTTAAACAAAAGAAGAAGTAATGGCCTTGCAATGTCATCAGATTCCAAGAAGTAAAAGGAGAAATGGATGGATGAATAAACAGGTGAACTGTAAAAAGTTTGGTATTGTATGCATAATTCATGTGGCACTTAAAAAAAATTAGCGGCAGACAAGTTGCCTGAAGGTGGAAGCAGGTCTGGCAGCTAAGCATACATTCTGTTCTCTGGTAAGCACCTCTTTCATTTTAGTTGCACAGCCAGAAGGAAACCAGGAGTCCTCACCCTATTACTTGAGCCCGTATTCTGATATCTGTTATCATATAATGCCTTTCTTTGTCCTAAGTTGTATCTGAGTGCAGGAGAAACAGAAGACCACACTCCCTTACAGAACCTTAGACATTCCCTCCACTCCACCCTCCAGCATCTTTTAAAATTTGTAACTTGCACCTTCATTATTATTATTTACCAAAAAAGGCAACTCTTAAAACACAAAGGGTTGCATCTAATGTTAGTCATACTTAGAGAAGACCCTTTGGAATTAATGTATATGACTAATTTAGGCACATTCATACACTCTACTCAGAGAGTAATTCCATCAGCTACAACTAACACATGAACTTCAAGACATTCTGAAAACACTATTATTTCATAGATAAGGTGGCAAGGAGAGCACTGGTCCCTGTCTGATGAGTCAAGTAAACAAACAATTTTTCTCCTTCAGCTCTTGTCGTGCCCTAGGATTCTGTATCTGTTACCAGCCCCTATACTCAGCTTGGCCATTCAAGACCTACAGGTGTAAAAAATGATACTCTTGCTTTACTTTAAATGATCAAAGGGTACTTGATGTAAGCTGATGTTTGACAAATACTCTACTGCTATTATGCTTGTGTTTTCATAGTTGCGACTGCAATTTAACTTGTTTTATCCTGCTTTTTTTTTTTTTGCATTGTAAGCCACCCTGACTGTGCTTGTCACAGGAAAGCAGGATAAGATGTCCCTAAACAAAACAAGATGCATGCTTGAGCAAGCCATTTCTATATGATTGACTTACTTGTCCTGCTAGGATTTTTTGAGTACTAACTCCAACATATGCTCCAGTATTCTGAACTATACACCTATCTTTACTGTCAACACACATCTCGCCAACAGAATCACACATTTTATCAAGCAAAACAATATCGCCCAGCTTATTAGTCAATAAGACCCTAACACCAGGCACACATTCAGAATACACCATCAGTAAATGGCATGGAAATGTACCATCTTAAAAGATGCAATTCAAAGATATGGTAAGCTTGGTAGACCCAGATTATGACAGTGATGGGAAAGGGAGGAGGGGTATTACCCACAACCCACAATCCTTCTGTGGCAGAGGACTCAGGCTACTTCCGTGCAGGGGAGAACACAGAGAACTTCATTCAGAGTGCTTTTGGCTTGGAAAAATCACAGATTACAAAATAAAGCAGGCTCTTTTAACCAGCCAACCAGCTCTTCCAGATTGGTGGAGCCCACCAAACTTCAGGTCTGGTCAGCTTCATAAGGCTTCAGTTGGCTCTAGTTCTCTGTAGAAGCAACATCTTGAGTTTAGCAGGGCCTCTTGGAGCTGTCCAATGTCCTGTAGCCTTTCTGCTGGATCTACTCAACTGCTTGCTTCCCTTATGAGTCTCATGTGCTCATTGAACTGGAGGTGATAGTACTTAATGCTCTCCCATGGTGGCACTCCAGCAATCAAACTCTCTCCCTAGTGTAGCTTGCTTGGCATCCACCTTGATATAATTCTGAGGCCAGGCAAAGTCCTTTTCATTTTTCCAGGCCTTTTATTATGTCCCTGCTTTAAACCCATTTGACCCAAGCAATGTTTTTTTTTTAACATGGAGTTTATATATTATTATTTCTGTTACTATTTCTGGGTTTTTGTTTTTTAGTTTTGCTTTAAATGGACCTGATAACATGCAGCTCAAAGCTGACCAGCAATGGCCAGGTAACTGCCCATATTGTCCACGTTTGGAAGCACCCACAGTCTGAAACACTGCAGCCAATGCACAGGTTCACCATCTCAGTGAGAATTAGGCCAAAGATGTATCAGATCATGTGTTGTGCTGCCCTTTCCCTAGAGGCTGGCATCTGCCAAAATGCATGTGAGTGCTTGGGGACGGAAGGACGCAGAAAGGCACTAACTAGCAATCAGGGATTCGCATTAAGGGCTGAGTCAGCTTACAGAACAATGAAAAGGCAGTTTTAGTTTATAGTATAATGAAAGGAGGGAGAGGCGCACACAGTTAATTCAGCATGCCATCTGGTGCAGCACTGTGCTTCAAAGCAATATTACTATACCATCCTCTGTTAAAGCAGACCAATCACCAGCAGAGACTGATACTCTCAATAGCTGGACTCAGACGCTGAATAAAACAGAGCCTGTCTGTAATCCATATGGATTTGTATCTCATACACATTACAAGAAAGCTTTTGGAGAGGGTCTGTTTACCCTTGCCTTTTCTGCTTACTCCTAAAAGAAGTTTGCTTTCTAATATACGAACAATTTGTCACAAATTAAAAAAACATGTCCTTATTGAATGCTAAATATAACAAAGTTAAAATCACACATTTATAGCCTGTCTCAAGTCTTCACATACACTATAGTAATAATCCTTACAACAGCCCTATAGAGTAGGTCTCCTGTTATAGGAGGAGACGAAAGCTGCAGTTTTAAAGCTAGTCTTGGATTTTGGATTTTCTAGTGTGTGTTTTCTGTTCTTCCCAGGCTTAACATACATAGATATGATGGTTGTCACACCATCATAAGAGGCTTTGCCCCTCTACAATCAGCACACACATAGTGTAGTGTGAAAACAGGATCGCTCCAAAAAGGATACAGCTTTAAGAAGTAAGAATCACAAACCCTTGATTTTAAATTCTCTCTATGTGAGTTAGAAACACACTCTTTTCTCTTTTTTTGAAAAAAGTTGCCAATGAAGAAAATACAACTGCATTCCGCTTTCCATGCTAGGAGCAGGGTTTGGTTTCATTTCTATTTCTGTCTCCTTTGTTCCCTAGAAGGAAGAACATTAACTGGTCTGACAAGTTCTATTAAAACAAGGAAAGGCTATAAACAATGCAGAAGACCATGTATTTTTTACTGGAAAAAGAAACAGGCAGCAGGAAGAGGCAGACAGACTGGCCTAAGCTGCCGGCCAAATCAATTATTTGTCTGTAACAGACATTTATCTCCACATTTATGTCCTGAATAAAACAAATGCCTTGTTGGCCTGGTAACCTGGCAAGGAGGTACAGCTGCTCTGTTTGAAATCCACGGTCATCTCCAAAACTCAGTAAGGGCCAAACTCAACGTGATGGTGACTATGACCTTTATAAATCAGAATCTGCCCCTGGTCATGAATACAGCTGGGGAAGGCCCCTGTTTTAATAGCAGGAAGAGAGGATTGATCAGTTCTCCCCCGCAATCTGAGAGGACCCACCACCAACAGCAACTGGGCTCCAGTACCATATTCAGTACTGAATCCAGTACTGAATCCAGCTGAATCCAACTACAGGGAAGAAAGCCATAGAGGGGGAGAGCTCAGCATCCTCTACCCATTTTATAGGTGACTGTGGTAGGCCTGCAATTAAAGAGGCATGTCTGCCATTGTCATGTCTCCCTTGGTTCTATCTTACTTTTTCTTATTTACTCTTCCAGGAAACACACAGGCTTTAGCCCTATCCAGTCACTCAATTCCATGAATATTTGTGGGATGGGGTGGCATTGCACCAGAGTGGCAAATAAGCATGGGGACTCTGCTGAGTTTTCAGCAACTGCACATAGGTTAGGGTCTGAGCCTGCTGCTATTGGGGTGAACTTGGCATTCCTTTAATGATTCTGAATGAACAGACAGGGCTTTTAGATCAGCATGTCAAGCAGTGCCTTTAAAAATATGTCACCACTCACTTTCCATATGAGGCTATCAACAGTCAGCAAAATACAAATTCTATGTTAGCCAACTTCTGCACCCCCAAAGCCCAAATTCTGGAACCAGTGTAAATTAAGCAAATTACATTGCAATTCTATGTGCGCTTCCTAAGAAGTAAATTCCATCGTATTCAATAAACCTTACATGCATGGAATTTTAGCCTTCTGCAAATGGATAATTCTGCTTCTGTTAGTCAGTGGGGATCTGTAGGACGTGGAGTCTGAACTCCATGATCAGAAGAAAGATCCAAGGCTTTGCCTTTTTAGGTTTTACCATGCACAGCCCATGTACTTTCAAGTAAGGATGCTGGAAGACTGATCTCTACACATTTACCTGGTCTATACCTCTCAATGATGGAAAATGGGGCAGTCAGACTTATTATAGGTGAACACATGGGAGAGTACATCCCTACTTTTAAGCCTGTTCTCATGACAATAAGGACTAGAAGTACCTTTTCTGAAATATGAAAGTTGAGATTCTCAAGATGCTGAATGCTGCTTCTATGTCAGGGACTGGCTGGATAACGAAAAGTGGAGGAAGTCTCCAGCCGAGGAACCCCCGAGGGAAGCAACAGGGGAAGAAGGCTCAGACCCAGGGGAGTGGTGGTGAAACACAGAAGATGGAACAGAGGAGGGAGGGAGCTGGGAGGTGGAAGACCCAGGAGGCTTAAGTGAGCAAGAAGAGTCAGAGGCAGAGAGCCCTCCAAGGACAGGACTGGATGCAGAGGAACACACTCTGAGCTCAGGATCTGAAGGAGAGGACAGGGAGGTGTCAGACACTGCAGCAGCTTCACAGCAGCTACCCGGACCCTCTGCATGGAGCTCCCCTCCCCCTTTCACTCCAAGATTGTTCAGAGCTTTACACATAGCTGAACACAAAGCTAGAAAAACCCAAGGGGGGGGTCCCCTCTCCCTGCTTGCGTTAGCATCTGTTTGGAAGACATCCGGAAGAGGAGAGTTAGGAGGAAGAGGAGGTGCCCAGAGCCAGTCTTGGCAATGCCTTCACAGAGGCAGTAGTGCCTGAGTGATCTCTGTTGTATACTAATTTCCTGAATAAAACAGCTGACTTTACTTCAAGTCTCTGAGTCTCCCTTCTGACCTGTTGATGAACCTGTTCCCCTGACAGCCCCCTGACAATTTGGTGCTTAATTCTTTACCTTTTGTCAGAAAATGAAATATGCTTTAGTTTATTATTTTTTAAAAAATGAAAATGCACAATTTAGCATATTTTTTGGAATGGGTGGGGGAATTCATTACCTATCCACTTTTTTCTTTGTTCAAACAGGAGGCTTTTGAAATCATTGCATTCATCAAAATACATCTCCTCCTTCCTACTGATTTGCTAGAAGCCTAAGCAGAGAAGTTCCCGAGATAAAATATCTTACCAATAAACATGTGGAATAAGTTACTGAGAAATGCATCTGAGAGAGGAAGCATAAAATGTATTAAATCACAAGGATTTGTTTCAGGAGAGGAAGGAGATTGAAGGGGATTGGGGGGAAACAAAAAAATGGAGACTAATATAAATTTTATACAAAGGAAACTTCCTACCCCATGGTTTGTTTGTGTTTTTTAATGCTTAGAGCTGGCCACTTATTTTTATGAACTCTTAAGACAGGATGTATTGCTCTGCTGATTAAAATAATAATGATAAAATGAGATGTGGGCTAAGCCTGCCACTCTGTCTGCCACATGGCAGGTGGTCTTGGTGGTCAGTGCACCCGCAGGTAAGGTTACCAGATCTGGAACTGGATGGTGCATCTACTTTTTAACAACTACAGCACAGAAGATGCTATAAGCACAAATGTCAATTCATGCCTATTTCCCCAGCTTCCTCTTGAAGCAGGGGGAAAACCACCACCATCTGCTCTAAGCAAAGATACAAGTGCAATGTGGTGGACCCCACACACAACCAACTGAGCTAGAAACTGCAGCTTCTCATAAGGTTCTGGTCCCTCCCCTAAGAAGCTGACACAGTCACCACGTTCAAGGTCTCTTTAGCGGGAAATGACTCAAACCATTACATAGCTGGATTAGCTCAGCATGATCAGAAAGGGCCGAGGAGCAAATTTGTTGCAAATCCCTCTCTGGAAACTGACATGGTCCTGATAAGTGAGCCAGCCCAGATGCTGGGCTCTCCTTCAATGGAGATACTTAACCAAGAAGCTAGATAGCCATACTCCAGGAGTGCTGCAGTTTTACCCTGCATTGTTGATCCTGTAATGAGCAAACCGCTTCATGAGATCAGCCTTCTCCAGCTCTAGGGTCCCATATCAAGTTGAACAAGAAGCCCCATCATCCTTGGTCACTGGTCACACAGGCAGAGAACAGCAATACCTGAGGACCCAAAGCTGTGGAAGGCTGGACTAGATGGTCCTCAAGATTCCGTACAGCTCTATAATTTTATGGCTATTCTAATTTCAAAAGAACACAGCTAAAACATATGCCCACCCCTCCACCAATGCCTCACACAGAATACTGGGACTTTATTATTTGCATTAAGAGAAATGCATGCAAAAACAGTTGAGTCATATTACCCCTGCTAGTAACAAACAGAATCTACCATCTGTCAAGGGATATATTTCCAGATGAAAGTGCTTTATTGGAAGCAAAATTAGTATGCAGGAAGATACAAATGAAAGTATTAGCATCTCTTTCAAAACAGAGCTACATCAACAGGCAGGAGCATTTCATATATGCTGATTTCAATGGGCACATGCTGATAACCTGCTTAAACTGTAGCATTTGAAGGACAGGCGCATCGACTTTCATGTATTCATGTATACAACACCAACATGTGGCATGCAGCTGCAACTGAGCTCTGCTCCCTGGAACATGTTTCCGCAGCGAACATGATGTTAAAAAGTAGTGCACACAGTTCAAACTCTACCATGTAATAATATCAGCATGTTTATGAGGTATTCTTCCCATAAATACAACCTCTTACCTTGCACATCTGAAATACAAAACAGGGATTTCTAGATATCCCCAAGAAACCAATTAATTCCAGTTGGCAAAGGGTGTGTGTGTGTGTGAGAGAGAGAGAGAGAGTGAGTGAGAAAACTAATTGCATTAATCATATATACTTTAAAGAGCTGATTCACACTTCCTACTAATGTTTTACCTCTTTGCCTCATTTTATTTTATTTCCTGACTACAAGAGATAAGGAGACATATTTAATGAAGAATGTGGATGGTGGCAAGTCCAATGGCTAGAGAGAGATCTGGTAGTGGGTGACCACAGGCAACGCGTTCTCTCTCAGCTTCAGTTCTTTAACATAATGACTTTTTCTAAATCAGTTGCAAGGATGAAGTGCTGTTTTTAAAAGACCCATCTTGACGCATCTTAACAACAGCACAATTCCTTTCAGGTGAGATTAGATTAATCATCTAGATTAATGCTAATGCTGAATTAAATAAAAATTAAATACAGACAGGTAGAGGTGCAGAGACTGCAGGAATGGGGGGAGGAAGGTAAGTTTCATTTACAGATATCCAGTTGGAGTATGAATTGAATTTGAAATGATTGAATGTATGTGCTGTTGTTGTTTTTAACCCTCCCTCTGTGTGTGTGTGTGTGTGTGTTGTGCATGGGGTGTTAGGGGAGGGGTAGTACCTCTGGTGGGGGGCACAGACTTCCCTTGCATGTGAAGACAGGCTCTGGCAGACTGATCAGAAAAGACCAATAGTAGATCCAACCATCGAGAAGGCAGTTTCTGCATGTGTTGTAGAGGGATGAGAGGGGCAGATGGGGCTTGTCAATCTAGGAAGGTAGCCCATCTAGGAGAAGGAAAACTCAGATCCTAAACCTCCACTGCCTTGCTGGAAGAAGAAAAGGCCAAGTAGTAAACCCTACACAAATCCAGAGTGGAGTCCCTAAGATGGTTGGGTGGTGCCTTGTATGCTTCCTTCCAGCAACTCCTGCAGCCAAGCTGGTGCCAAACACATTGCTCTGCTTTCTTTTGGACCACATCAGCAAGGCCGAGAGGCAGGTCTGGTTGTCTGGACAGCCCAGGAGCTTCATACACATTGCCCAGGCTTGGGCTTGGGGAGGTCACTTGAGTGCTGCTCATGCAGCTGTTTGACTTCACCCCCAGAGGTGCACTCCATTGTCTCTTGAGACAAAGGAATGCCAACAAATGTGTGTGTTTATATAAGTACCTCTTTTATGTATGCTATCATGTTGTAACTTACTTCAGGATACCTCATGGGAAGTTGCTTCATAAATGAAATAAATGCATACAATAAAATAATAATATGTGCAAGTGGAAGTCTGCCACGCAAGTGGTACACCACAATCGGATATCACCCCCATAACTGGGGCACAGAAGACATGGCACAGAAGCACTAACACATTAGTCTATCTGAAGATACCTAGAGCACTGCACCCACCACCTTTGCTTATAGCACACAGTGTGAAAGGGAAAGGAGGAGCTTAACTATAGGGACATCTGTGAATGGGCAGTTGTCCTTCACAGTGGGACTGAACTCATTTGATGACTTGAGCTGGGGAGAGACAACAAGACACTCTGTGGTCTTATAAACAGGACAAGAAAGCATTTATAAACACAAGAAAGTATTTCTTCATGGAAGGCAACTTAAAGAATCTACTGCCAGAAGATGTGGTCATTGCTTCAGGCTTCGATGGATTTCAAAGAGGATTAGACAAATTCATGGGAGCGCAAATCTATCAATGGCTATGAGCCATGAAAGGAAAAAAGGAACCTTCATGTTCAGGAGAGAGTTGTTAAAAGGGGTGCAAATAGCAAGGGTGTGCCATTGCCGTCATATCCTACTTGTGGATTTCCAAAGGCATCACTCACTTGACTTAATCCAGCCAGTTTTTTCTTCTGCGGCAGCTTCATAGCTCAGTGCTAGAGCATCTACTCTGCCTGCAGAAAGTCCCAGATTTAATCCCTGGCATCTCCAGATAGGGTTAGGATGGACTCCTGCCTCAAACTCTGGAGAGTTTCTACCAGTCAGTGCAGACAATACTCAGCTAGGTGGACCAATAATCTACCTCAGTGTTAGACAGCTTCCTTTGTTGTCCCAAGCAATGTTGGGCTGGCCCTTGAGAACATATTGATTACAAACTCTGTTTACATCCTCGGGGAAACTGACCCACTTTTATTCTTAGTAACTGGAAAGAAATGTGTTTCAGAAAATAAATGAATATTATAATCACAGGCATGTTTAAACATATTAATGCACAAGGGAGGGATTTGTCAGAAAAGGCACTTGAATTTTCAAAGGGCAATATTAGAAAGAAATGTAAGGAAAGAAAGTTATTTCCTCTCTCTGTTCCCGCAGTTTTCAAACTTGCACAGAAGTCCATCCCTGAACCAGGAGTGGAGCTGAAAGAATGTGCTTGTGTGGAATTTAGAAGGTGTTGATAAGGAGGTATTTGTTGACAATGCCTTGACAGCATTTATAGGGTGAGAATGAATAATGATTGTCCATTTGGTGAGAAGTCGATTTCAGGGCTCCAATGTAATTTGTCACCAGGGCTATTTTAAAGATTGGGAGGAGAAACGTGGCATGCAATGTATAATATTATATATATCCAAAGAAATCCAAAGAACATTGCAGTTTGAAATATTTCTTTTCACATATGGCAGTTTCTCTGCCTTTCTTCTCCCTTGTCAACCACAAATAATATTTAGAAACAGCCACCCTTTTAATTTTCTCTAGCTCTAGAGGCAATGTATAGGAGACTGCTGGTCAGCTAACCTGTTTGCAACCATGGTCGGACAAGTAAATCAGCCTAATTTTATGGAGCAAGTTCAAGCTGAGCTGATACAAGGCTGTGCACACACTCCCATTTACTCTGCATCTAATGTCGCTCCCACTGCTGGTTTGGGAAGCAGTGTACACAGAACTTTCGCCACAATCTATATTAATCCTATTGCTTCTTAGGAAATACTGCATTTTGAGGCACTTTTCCCTGCACCAATCCAAACAGAGGAAAATATTGACCTAGCTGCATTTGAGGTTGAAATGTATACACAGCCTTAGTTTAGGGGCTGACTCTTGGTACATTCGGAACAAGGTAGCTCTACTGAGTGTACATAATCTGGCCAGTTAATTAAAAGAGATGAAATATATAAGCTCCTACAGTTGAATAAGCAAATCAACTTGCTTAACTCGGCAGCTTTTCTTCCTCATTTTCAGATATTTACAGTGCGTATAAGAGCACAACAGGATACAGAAATGTCAAACGCCGGGGCAAAGGTGCATTCTAAAAATTCTGTTCCAAAATATCTATGATGCCTTTTCATAATGAAAACCCATATAAAAGACAAGCTACTCAGCTCTGCATTGATTGTTATTCTGGAAAGTTGTCACAGTTATGTCATATCTAGAAGAAGGGGGAAGTGCCTTCACCTGCTAAATGTGCTGTTCAGCTGCTTGGAAAATATTATAGAAGAGTTAAATCTACAATGGTTTATGACTCCTCTGAGAGCAATGAATCTTTCTAGAACATTTCATTGGCCCCAGTGAAAATGGTTCCAAAGGTGTTAGGGTCTAGCTCTACGACTAAGCCTTTTATATGTGAATTCGTGAAAGTGCAATGACTGGGTGATTTATATTAACAGGGTGTCCCTTTGAATATCACAGTAAACCCAAGGTGTAGTCTGATGGTGATCACTAGTTAACGGTTTACAGAACATGGAGATGGGTTTCTGCTTTGCTTCTCCCCTTGCAGATAAAAGTAACAAGTGTTCCATCCAAGCCAAAAATCACATTTTGATTTGTTCCAAAGCCAACCTTGGCAAAAACAAACTGAGTAAACTGGAGTAGGCAGAAGAAACTTAAACCTCTTTGCCAGCCTAGCACTTTGATTAGGATGCAAATTGCATTTTCACCCTCAACCCTCATCATCAGATTGATCATCTGGGAGGGGGGCAATGCGTGGATGAGCTGAGGGGACTATGTGCCTGGGTGTGTACACATGTGAGAATACAGGGAGGCTGCACCTATAGCCAGCAAATTTGGCTAAGGCAAATGCAACTTACTGTGACTTACTGTGACATGCAAACCGCACTGTTATTATCAGACCATTTCCTTTGTTTACCGTGATTTAAAGTTATGCTGAATCTGTGTGTCTGTTGTATCTATTAGTAGCTCTTGCTTTGGTAATGCTAAAGAAAGCTTAAAAACAAAGACAAAAACCCATCGAAATAAACCAGATGGACAAACTGAGGTCCACAATGAAGCAAAGCCTTGTTATTATGGATGCGCTGGGGCTATGACTGAAATCAGCAAGCTCCCTTAGTGGAATGAAGAAATCTCCACTAGAGGGCTCAGAACCTTCATAATATAACTCTACTACAATCTACTAAAATGACATGCCATTTCTCCCAAGCCTTCATGTCCACAAGGGAGTCCTCTATGTGTTGCTGTGTTCCAACCTCCTCCAGCCCCAGCCAGGCAAGGACACCGATTGCAAGCAGAGGAGTTGCAGCAGGATATACCTCCCGTCATAGGAGCGACTGTTGTGGGAACACACATGGGAAACCCCAGAGAGACGCCCAGGTAACTCTTGCTTATGGGGCAATACAAACACTATAAAGGAAGCAAATAAATAGGTAAGTCTTCTGCTTCCTACTCACTGAACCTTTGACAGCAGAAGAGGCAAGATTATGACCTGCGCTCTTCATTTGGTAACAATCTTTTCAATGACCAGGATCTCTGCAGTGTGTACAGCAGCATCAGTACAGTTCTATGCTTCTGGGGAAAATATTTCAAAAGGTTTCAAACTGGTTTAAACCTCTGGATTTACTCAGAGTGTAGGGGCAAGGAAGCCAAAGGTGGTGTGGAAAAGAAAGGTGGTTTTCTCGAAGCTAGCAATGCGAAATGCCACGCCACAGAGCCCTTTAGGAGCTGAATTGGCAGCATCCAAGTGTTAATTCCTCTCCACTGCAACCCGAAGAGCCAGTGGCATGTGAGCAGATTCCAGGTTTTACCTTAGCAATGTCCAGTGGAGCAGCTGCACTCCAGGGTGCTTCTTGCCTGCATGTCCTCAAGCTGTCACTTTGCAGTATGTCATTCCAGCCATCTATCTGAAAAAGGCCAGCCAAACAAGGAAGCCTCACTACAACCCGCCCAATAATGTGTCCTGCTGACTGGAAATCCCGGTCAAATGAAGTTCTGTTCCATCCTAACTTCTTGCAACGAAAACTCACAAGGATAACTAATTCCAGAAACTGCTAACCTCACCTGACCTTCTATTAGCTGCATCCATTTCAAACTTTTTGTATCGGACGGTTTTTCTATTGTTTTCTACAGATTTGTTACCATTTACACATTACAGTATTTGACTCACGACTTGTTGATTCAGATTACATGGTTTTATTTTTTTACTTCTGCTTTTAAGACTGTTTCCTTGCGCTATAGTTAGGGATGGGGTATAAATATGATACAGTTCACATTTAAAAGCAAATCTATCAAGTTCACATTTTCCAAAATAATATGAGAACTGAATGAAACACAGGAACCCTTTGAAATTTCCACTAATCCAAATTTTGCCATGCAGTTCTCCATATGCATTAAAAATGCATATACTAGGGGAAAAGCATGCATTAAAAAAATAATTCATTCGTGAAATTAATGTACAAAAATGCATTGTGTTGGGAGAAATTGCTTGCGAAAATGTGCACATAAGTGAAAACTGCATACAAAATTGTATTAGGAGAAATTCACACAAAAATGCTGAATAATTTTCATAAGGTTTTTTTTTATAAAAAAAAACACCACAAATTAATCAATTCCTGCAAAAATGTGAACAGAATTTAACACTGGAAAAATGAGAAACTAAGAGAACTGAAATGGACAAATCCTTCCACCCCTAGCTGTAAGTAGCTAAGAAGCCAGGAACAAGTAGCTCTATGCAGCATTTAGAAAACATTCTAAACAAAAAGGAAACCTGTCTCCAATATAACCAAACATAATTTGTGGATGAACACCCACAAATGAGCTACTCCTGTAGACTAATAATTTTTAATGCAACTGAGACATCTTGAGAGCTAACTGAAAAATTACTGGGAGGGTGGGGAGAAAAGTCTCTCTGCAAAATTTTGCTTTCAAGTGTGAGTAGAAACTTGTTTCAGGGTGGAAACGGACATCACATCAGAGGCAGCCAAAAGGAGAAACACCAGAGCCAGGCCCCCTAATGCTTGGCT